CTTTATGTTGATAATTCAGACTGTGTATCGCTTTTAAATCCTGAAAATCTTGCAGCAGTGTAGAGGACATTGCGGGGTGAATATTAGCAAATTAACAGGAATCACGGAATTATGCATGGAGATGTACATCTTTATTCAAACGGAAGTGTACAATTATGCAGTGGGATGTACATACTTATTAAGGTTTAAGTACAATGTGCCAGATTAGCTAAGCTATGTTGATTGATATGCCGATTGTTAATTTTTACATTAACAATTGAATGCAAAGTCCATGATAGGCCAAATCGAGAACAAAGGATTTGGATGCTAGAGGGGAGTTATAAGGGGCTTAAAATCAGACCTCAAGACCATTTGGAGAGGAATTTTCCTGAGGATAGACGCTCGACTCATCGCTCTGCAGATTTCCCTTCTCCTGCGAGACTCAGCCTGGCGAGCACGATTGCTTGGCGACTGGTTGGCGACTTTGCTTCGGGAGAGTTCGTGGCGATCTCTTTAGACGGGTTACAGGGTCATCGATACACCGTGCATCAACAAGTAAGTGTCTTTGTTAGTGGATAACCTGGTAATCGCGTGTGTAGTCCGACTTACGAGACGTTACTGTGTCTCGGTTGGACGTTCGTGAGAGTTTGCTTTTTGGCGATTTGAGCCACACATCCACGCAGCATAGAGGGCACCGTTAACTCTCAACAACACCCGCGACTGTTTCTCTGCTCTGTAGAATCAGTCACATGGAGCAAATGCACTCTCCACAGTGCCAAGCCCAGACGGGCGAGAAGCCGTTCAATTGCTCATTGTGTGGGAAGGCATTTGCAAGGAAAACAATTCTTAACAGACACCAGAAAACACACACGGGCGAGAAGCCATTCAATTGTTCTGTTTGTGGGAAGGCATTTGCAGAGAAATCATCTCTTAACAGACACCAGAAAATACACACTGGTGAGAAGTCAGTCAAGTGCTCTGTGTGTGGGAAGGCATTTGCACAGAAATCACATCTTCACAGTCACCAGAAAACACACACGGGCGAGAAGCCATTCAAGTGCTCCTTGTGTGGGAAGAAATTTTCACGGAAAACAATTCTTAACAGACACCAGAAAACACACACGGGTGAGAAGCCATTCAATTGTTCTGTGTGTGGGAAGGCATTTGCAGAGAAATCATCTCTTAACAGACACCATAAAACACACACGGGCGAGAAGTCATTCAAGTGCTCTGTGTGTGGGAAGGCATTTGTACAGAAATCAAATCTTAACACTCACAAGAAAATACACACGGGCGAGAAGCCATTCAAGTGCTCTGTGTGTGGGAAGGCATTTGCACAGAAATCAAATCTTAACACTCACAAGAAAACACACACGGGCGAGAAGCCATTCAAGTGCTCTGTGTGTGGGAAGGCATTTGCGGATAAATCAGCTCTTAACAAATACCAGAAAACACAAACGGGCGAGAAGCCGTTCAATTGCTCTGTGTGTGGGAAGGCATTTGCACAGGAATCACATCTTCAGAGTCACCAGAAAACACACACGGGTGATAAGCCATTCAGGTGCTATGTGTGTGGGAAGGAATTTTCAAAGAAATCACATCTTCAGAGTCACCAGAAAACTCACACGGGCGAGAAGCCATTCAATTGCTCTGCGTGTGGGAAGGCATTTGCATGGAAATCAAATCTTCACAGTCACCAGAAAACTCACACGGGATGCCTGGATGTAGTGGAGGTAATGAGTCCTGGCAACAATTACTCTTTCGACCTCATGCAGGTGGATGCTGAGAAATCGCTGCTGGAGTGGCTGGAGGGTCAAAGTTTTGAGGACTTCTGTTAACTCTTGAAGTCCTGGAATGTGCATGATTGTGTCTCTATTAGATCAATCAATAAGGTACACATTATTACTTCCGTGATTTCCAGTACTCCAAGCTAGAGTGATGTTGTGAATGCTCTATGATGTGTTCGATAAAAAGGAATTCCTTTTAAGCTTCAGAAGTGTTCACTTATTTCAGGATGACAACAATTTTATACTTCCATAGATGCGTTGCTTCGTCTGGTGGTTGTATAATCGGCACTGTTAAATGTGTGGTGTTTATGGTAGAAGGTGCCACGTGTTGTCATCTTCTCACAGCTACTTGAGTGTTGAAGTTCCTTCTAGACTGCGTCACGTTAAGGTGGTGCTTTGTAGTCATATCGGATTACTTGTTGATGTGGTGTGATGCACAGTGGTTGTGAGGTGGTCCATTCCTGATTTTACCCTCGTGACTAAGTGGCATTGTTGAGCTAAAGTTGGAGAAAGACTGTGATCATAACGTTGCCCTATATTTTTAACATTTTTCTTTAATTTTCAAAGTGTCGGTTTCAGAATTTGCGTTCGTTGTTCCTGTGTTTGATGGCTTGGACTTGTGGACGAATGGCTTCAGTCAATAAGGACGTCAATTGGGAAGGATTAAGATGTTCACGTGTTTGATTTTGAGAATATTTTATGACTGTTGAATTAATGAAAGTTTAATTATTTTCATAGTACCTTAACTGTTTGAAAAAGCGAATTAATAAAGATTCATAAAGACCTGATTTGTGATCTTAAAGTTGACTGATCGTACATTATTGCTACCATTTCCTTCCTTAAAAATAACATTTCCGAGTAGACATTCACACAAGAGTGTGCATCCTAACACGACTGTTTATATATACAGCGGTGTGCATTCACACACGAGTGTGCATATACAGGGGTGTACATACATACAGACATACAACGCAGTGTACATACACAGCAGTGTACGAACACAAGGATTGCGTTCCACTGCGAACACGCACGATTGTACCTGCATACATACACACACACGATACGTATACGGGTTTTCATTCTCAGAAGAAGAGCCACTCCATGTTGTTTGGCATTCCCCTGCCACGAATAAAGTTCTGTATTAACAACCTTCAACTTCATCGGCGTTCCCGGTCGGTAACGCTGTGGTGGATAAGAGCAATGTCCTTGAGGGAAGTCTCGTAGCCACCACAGCGGCCCACGAGGTCTCTGGACGGGTGCGAGGTGCTGGTAACCCCTTGCACATTCAATGCACTTTGCCATGAAAACACACGTGCAAAATATACACACACACATACATACACACAGCACTGGTACATACACAGCAGTGTAAATACACACGATGCTTTACGCTATAGAACTGAAATGTGATAATGACTGCGTTACAATATAATAAACAACGCTTACAAACTATTCCATCCAGATGGGTTAAAAAACAACCAGCAATTGTAACCATTTTAATTGATGGAATGTAACAATTCAACTTCGTTGTCTAGACACACCTTGATCAACAAGAGTCCTTAAACACATTAATAAAACCACGTCAGCACGCTGTGAAGCATGCACCTCTTAGTCTAAGTATATCTCCATCAACATTGCGATATTTTATACTGTATTTCACAGGTAAGGCCGCTATATCGATAGCAGTTTACAGGCCATTGTAAATGTGCAAACTAACAACGTAATTATTCCAGAAGATGCCCATCCATATTCAAACGCAAGTGAACCATGATGCAGTGAAATGAACATTCCTACTTAGGCTTAAGCACGATGGCCACATGAGCTTAGGTATGTTGATAAATTATGAGGAGCGTCACCTACGAGAATAACAATTGAATGCAAGGAAGTTAATCAAGAAAATTACAAATGATTCTAGAGAGATTACTTAAACGGGAAGAATAATCTCAACCGGTTTGCCGAAGCAAAGGCGAACAAATGGAATTAAATAAAGAAAACTAATGACTTCACTAACACTCATTAAACATGGGGCCACTATTTAAAACATTATTAATGATTCCAAGCGTTTGTATTGGAATACAGAGAATGAATTAGAATGTCACGCGTTTCTGGCATTCGCTTAACGTTCTTCAGTTTTGAGGGGCATCTAAGATTCAGATCGTCGGTTCAATCTGTTAAAATAATCACAAAACCCCGCTATCCTAGTCTGCTATGGTTTGTATGTACGGGGATCTGTACTGCTGTGTACGTACACTCGTGTGTGTATGCGCACAGCTGTAAATAGACAGTCGTATTTGGATGCACACGTGTCTGTATGGCTACTCGTCTGTACTATCAGTTATCTTTAAAAACAATTCAGGTTTTTTTATTAATCTGCAAGGAAATTCACGTTAATTCTCGCATCGACATCTTTATTAAGACGCGTGCTCAAACAGTAAAGGAACTAGGCCAATTATTTCCCAATAGGAATTCAAACAGTTAAAACAAATTCTCAAAATCAAACACGTAAATGTCGATTTCCCCATTGACGTCCTTATCGACTGAAGCCATTCGTCCACAAGTCCAAGCCATCAAACACAGGAACAACGAACGAGCAATCCACGCGCACTCTGAAAGCTATCATTTGAAGTTATTTTTTTTCATTAAACAATAAAGAAAATTGAGGAAAAATGTTTAAAATATAGGGCAACGTTATGATCACAGTCTTTCTCCAACTTTAGCTCAACAAGGCCACTTAGTGACGACAGTAAAATCAGGAATTGGACCAGCTCACAACCACTGTGCATCACACCACATCAACAAGTAATCCGATATGACTACAAAGCATCACCTTAACGTGACGAAGTCTAGAAGGAACTTCAACACTCAAGGAGCTGTGAGAAGATGACAACACGTGGCACCTTCTACCATAAACACCACACATTTAACAGTCCCGATGATACAACCACCAGACGAAGCAACGCATCTGTGGAAGTATAAAATTGTTGTCATCCTGAAATAAGTGAACACTTCTGGAGCTTAAAAGGAATTCCTTTTTATCCCAACACATCATAGAGCATTCACAACATCGCTCTAGCTTGGAGTACTGGAAATCACGGAAGTAATAATGTGTACCTTATCGATTGATCTAACAGAGACACAAACATGCACATTCCAGGACTTCAAGAGTTAACAGAAGTCCTCAATACTTTGACCCTCCAGCCACTCCAGCAGCGATTTCTCAGCATCCACCTGCATGAGGTCGAAAGAGTAATTGTTGCCAGGACTCATTACCTCCACTACATCCAGTCATCCCGTGTGAGTTTTCTGGTGACTGTGAAGATTTGATTTCCATGCAAATGCCTTCCCACACGCAGAGCAAGTGAATGGCTTCTCGCCCGTGTGAGTTTTCTGGTGACTGTGAAGAATTGTTTTCCGTGCAAATGCCTTCCCACACACAGAGCACCTGAATGGCTTATCACCCGTGTGTGTTTTCTGGTGTCTGCTAAGAGTTGATTTCCGTGAAAATGCCTTCACACACACAGAACAATGGAATGGCTTGTCGCCCGTGTGGGCTTGGCACTGTGGAAAGTTCATCTGCTCCATGTGACTGATTCTACAGAGCAGAGTAACAGTCGCGGGTGTTGTTGAGAGATAGCGGTGCCCTCTATGCTGCGTGGATGTGTGGCTCAAATCGCCAAAAAGCAAACTCTCACGAACGTCCAACCGAGACAAAGTAACGTCTCGTAAGTCGGACTACACACGCGATTACCTGGCTATCCACTAACAAAGACACTTACTTGTTGATGCACGGTGTATCGATGACCCTGTAACCCGTCTAAAGAGATCGCCACGAACTCTCCCGAAGCAAAGTCGCCAACCAGTCGCCAAGCAATCGTGCTCGCCAGGCTGAGTCTCGCAGGAGAAGGGAAATCTGCAGAGCGATGAGTCGAGCGTCTATCCTCAGGAAAATCCCTCTCGAAATGGTCTTGAGGTCTGATTTTAAGCCCCTTATAACTCCCCTCTAGCATCCAAATCCTTTGTTCTCGATTTGGCCTATCATAGACTTTGCATTCAATTGTTAATTTTTACATTAACAATCCGCATATCAATCAACGTTGCTTAGCTAATCTGGCCATTTAAATTAAACCTTAATAAGTATGTACATCCCACTACATAATTGTACACTTCCGTTTGAATAAAGATGTACATCTCCATGCATAATTCCGTGCTTCCTGTTGATTTGCTAATATTCACCCCGCAATGTCCTCTACACTGCTGCAAGTTTAAAGGATTAAACAACGACACATAGTCTAAAGAATCAAAATGCTGTTGTCCAGTTTGATTTGGACAACGAGGTGCAAATTTACAGTGTACTGACTTTGTTTCATAAATATATTGAAGGACACTCGTGTTGAGCGGGGTGTTTCTAGAAAACGAGGATGTTATGTTATAATTTCCGTCATAAACTTTGAGTAGTCATCTCAAAGTATGTATGTACACCCCTGTATATGCACACTCGTGCGTCAATGCACACCGCTGTATATATATACAGTCGTGTTAGGATACACACTCGTGTGTGCATGGCTACTTGTCCATATTCTTTTAAGGAAGGAAATGGTAGTAATAATGTACGATCAGTCTGTTAAGAGCTGATTCATCCGCAAATGCCTTCCCACAAACAGAGCACTTGAATGGCTTCTCTGCCGTGTGAGTTTTCTGGTGACTCTGAAGATGTGATTTCTGTGAAAATTCCTTCCCACACACAGAGCAATTGAATGGCTTCTCGCCCGTGTGTGTTTTCTGGTGTCTGCTAAGAGTTGATTTCCGTGAAAATGCCTTCACACACACAGAACAATTGAATGGCTTCTCGCCCGTGTGTGTTTTCTGGTGTCTGCTAAGAGTTGATTTCCGTGAAAATGCCTTCACACCCACAGAACAATGGAATGGCTAACAGAGACACAAACATGCACATTCCAGGACTTCAAGAGTTAACAGAAGTGCTCAACACTTTGACCCTCCAGCCACTCCAGCAGCGATTTCTCAGCATCCACCTGCATGGGGTCGAAAGAGGAATTGTGGTCAGGGCTCATTACATCCAGCAATCTCTCAGGATCCAACTGCATGAGGTCGAAAGAGGAATTGTTGCCAGGAGTCATTTACATCCACTACATCCAGGCATCTCTCAGGATTCACCTGTATAGGGTCGAAAGATTCATTTTGTTCAGGACTCACTGCAGCACTTTGCATTTCACCTTTTGATTTCACTTCACTCTCATTGCAGATCTTCGCATGCTTGTTTCGGGGTGATGACCGTGTCCTCTCCAACGGAGAACAATTGAATGACTTCTCGCCCGTGTGTGTTTTCTGGTGTCTGTTAAGAGATGATTTCTCTGCAAATGCCTTCCCACAAACAGAACAATTGAATGGCTTCTCGCCCGTGTGTTTTCTGGTGTCTGTTAAGAATTGTTTTCCGTGCAAATGCCTTCCTACAAACAGAGCACTTGAACGGCTTCTCACCCGAGTGTGTTTTCTTGTGAGTGTTAAGATTTGATTTCCATGCAAATGCCTTCCCACAAACAGAGCACTTGAATGGCTTCTCGCCTGTGTGAGTTTTCTGGTGACTCTGAAGATGTGATTTCTGTGAAAATTTCTTCCCACACACAGAGCAATTGAATGGCTTCTCGCCCGTGTGTGTTTTCTGGTGTCTGCTAAGAGTTGATTTCCGTGAAAATGCCTTCCCACACAATGAGCAATTGAACAGCTTCTCGCCCGTGTGTGTTTTCTGGTGTCTGCTAAGAGTTGATTTCCGTGAAAATGCCTTCACACACACAGAACAATGGAATGGCTTCTCGCCCGTGTGGGCTTGGCACTGTGGAGAGTTCATCTGCTCCATGTGACTGATTCTACAGAGCAGAGTAACAGTCGCGGGTGTTGTTGAGAGTTAACGGTGCCTTCTATGCTGCGTGGATGTGTGGCTCAAATCGCCAAAAAGCAAACTCTCACGAACGTCCAACCGAGACACAGTAACGTCTCGTTAGTCGGACGACACACACGATTACCAGGTTATCCACTAACAAAGACACTTACTTGTTGATGCACGGTGTATCGATGACCCTGTAACCCGTCTAAAGAGATCGCCACGAACTCTCCTGAAGCAAAGTCGCCAACCAGTCGCCAAGCAATCGTGCTCGCCAGGCTGAGTCTCGCAAGAGAAGGGTAATCTGCAGAGCGATGAGTCGAGCGTCTATCCTCAGTAAAATCCCTCTCGAAATGGTCTTGAGGTCTGATTTTAAGCCCCTTATAACTCCCCTCTAGCATCCAAATCGTTTGTTCTCGATTTGGCCAATCATGGACTTTGCATTCAATTGTAGATTTGTAACATTTACAATCCGCATATAAATCAACAAAGCTTAGCTAATTTGGCCATGTAAATTAAACCTTAATATGTATGTACATCCCACTGCATAAGTGTACGCTTCCGTTTGAATAAAATGTACATCTCCATGCATAATTCCGTGCTTCCTGTTAATTTGCTAATATTCACCCCGCAATGTCCTCTACACTGCTGCAAGTTTAAAGGATTAAACAACGACATATAGTCTAGCAGCCTCCTACCGTTGTTATTGAGCTGATCTGGCCCATGCCCTCCAATCACTCCAGACCAGGTGCCAGCATCATTACCAACTCGGGCATTGAAGTCACCCAACATGATGACTCTATCCCGAGGGGCCACTTTAGCCAGCACCTGTGACAGGAGGTCATAGAAGGCATCTGACTCATCGGCTTTGCCTGCATCCCTCCACGGATGTTCATCTGCGGTGGTGGCATAAGTAACCACGACCACCATTCCTCGCCTCCGGTTGATGGGAAGGCGAGCCCAAAGTAGCCTGGGGCTTACAGCTCCCCACACCTCACCGCCACGCTCCCACGCCCCCTTCATTCTTTTGTTCAAAAGAAGAGCCACACCCTGTTGTTTGGCAGTCTGCTGCCCCGAGTAGAGGACTGTCCACCCCTCATGGTGGCAGGAACCAGAACCGGTCCACCGGACCTCCTGAATGCCACAGAGATCCAGGCGGCACCGGTCCAGCTCCCAACAGAGGAGTGGCAGGCTCTCCTCCGCAGTGAGCGTTCGAACATTCCACGTGGCCACCCGTAGTGGTTTTTCGTTGTTTCTGGAGGAGCCCCGAGGGTAGAGATTCAATCTCCTGGCTCCGCCAATTGGGGTTTGGCCAGGAGACGTCATAGACGCCTGTCCCCCCGGGGCCTCCGGCACAAGCTTATTAAAATTTTGTATTCGTAGTTTAATGATAATTAATTGAAGGTGGAGGGGTTACCAGCCCCTAGCACCCGTCCAGAGCCCCCGTTTAGCCCCTGTGGTGGTCACAGACGCCATGAGGGGAGGAGCCAATCACAATTGGACCTCCCCCCACAGCACTGTCCACGACAGAGTTGCCAGTCCGGCACCGCGAGGAGGTAATGAAAAGCTGTCACATGGAAAGAGCTGTGATCACGGTGATGGTGATGATGGTGGTATTAATATTTTCTGATGTTACCAAGGTTATGATGTTGCTGATGAAGTTTGCCATTGTTTGAATGAAATAATTGAAGCAATGGAGATGTTTGGAGTTACATACTTAATCACACACACTCACAAACTCACCACTCACAATCACTCACGCATCACACACTCATCACCCACTCACTCACTCACCCACTCATCACTCACTCACCCACTCACAAACTCACTCACCCACTCAACCACCCACTCACTCACCCACTTACTCACCCACCCACTCACCCACCCACCCACTCACTCACCCACCCACTCACTCACCCACCCACGCACCTACCCACTCACTCACTCACCCACCCACTCTCACACAAAACCAACCAGACACTTGTAAACTGAATGCAAATGCTTTATTTGTGTTTTTACATTTGAACATTACCCAAATAATCACTCACAGACTCACCCAGACTCACTCTGACTCACTTAACTCACCCACAGAGTCACTCACAGACTCACCCACAGAGTCACTAACAGACTCACCCACAGACTCACTCACAGACTCACCCAAAGCTCCCACCTGTAGCCTTTCGCAGACTGTTGGGGCAAGTGCTGTTAGTAGCGAGTAGCAGCAGCACCTCACTCACCCAATACCCCACCCACTCACTCATCGACTCACTCACTCACTTACCCACAAACCCACCCACTCACTCACCCACTAAGCCACCAGCCCAGCCACTAACCCACTCACTCACCCATTCATTCACCCACCCACTCAACAACCCACTCACCAATCCACTCACTCACCACTCACCCACTCACTCACCCACCCATTCACCCACTCTCCCACCCATTCACCCACTCACCACCCACCCACTCACTCACCCAGCATAATCGAGGCCTCATTCAGGCTCAACTTAGGATATGTGCGGCCTAGTTCAGGCTCAGCCTAGGATACGAGAGGCCTGGATCTAGTCAGGCATTTCCCAGGCCTGGTTCTAGATGAGGCCTTGCCCAGGCCTGGATCTAGTCGAGGCCTGGTTCTAGTCGAGGCCTAGCCTAGGCCTGGATCTAGTCGAGGCCTTGCCCAGCCCTGGTTCTAGTCAAAGCATTGCCCAGGCCTAGTTCTAGTCGAGGCCTTGCCGAGGCCTGGTTCTAGTCGAGGCATTGCCGAGGCCTGGTTCTAGTCGAGGCCTGATTCAGGCTCAACTTAGGATATGTGCAGCCTAGTTCAGGCTCAGCCTAGGATACGAGAGGCCTGGATCTAGTCAGGCCTTGCCCTGACCTGGTTCTAGGTGAGGCCTAGTCCAGGCCTGGATCTAGTCGAGGCCTTGCCCAGGCCTGGTTCTAGTCGAGGCCTTGCCCAGGCCTGGTTCTAGTCGAGGCCTTGACCAGGCCTGGTTGTAGTCAAAGAATTGCCCAGGCCTGGTTCTAGTCGAGGCCTAGCCCAGGCCTGGTTCTAGTCGAGACCTTGCTCTAGCCTGTTTCTAGTCGAGGCCTAGCCCAGGGCTGGTTCTAGTCGAGGCCTTGCCGAGGCCTGGTTCTAGTCGAGGCATTGCCGAGGCCTGGTTCTAGTCGAGGCCTGATTCAGCCTCAACTTAGGATATGTGCAGCCTAGTTCAGGCTCAGCCTAGGAAACGAGAGGCCTGGAACTAGTCAGGCCTTGCCCTGACCTGGTTGTAGGTGAGGCCTAGTCCAGGCCTGGATCTAGTCGAGGCCTTGCCCAGGCCTGGCTCTAGTCGAGGCCTTGCCCAGGCCTGGTTCTAGTCGAGGCCTTGACCAGGCCTGGTTCTAGTCAAAGAATTGCCCAGGCCTGGTTCTAGTCGAGGCCTTGCCCAGGCTTGGTAATAGTCGAGGCCTAGTCCAGGCCTGGTTCTAGACGAGGCCTTGACCAGACCTGGTTCCAGTTGAGGCATTGCCCAGGCCTGTTTCTAGTCGAGGCCTAGCCCAGGACTGGTTCTAGTCGAACAATAAAGAAAATTAAAGAAAAATGTTTAAAATATAGGGCAACGTTATGATCACAGTCTTTCTCCAACTTTAGCTCAACAAGGCCACTTAGTCACGAAAGTAAAATCAGGAATTGGACCACCTCACAACCACTGTGCATCACACCACATCAACAAGTAATCCGATATGACTACAAAGCACCACCTTAACGTGACGAAGTCTAGAATAAACTACAACACTCAAGTAGCTGTGAGAAGATGACAACACGTGGCACCTTCTACCATAAACACCACACATTTAACAGTCCCGATGATACAACCACCAGACGAATCAACGCATCTATCGAAGTATAAAATTGTTGTCATCTTGAAATAAGTGAACACTTCTGGAGCTTAAAAGGAATTCCTTTTCATCCGAACACATCATAGAGCATTCACAACATCGCTCTAGCTTGGAGTACTGGAAATCACGGAAATAATAATGTGTACCTTATCGATTGATCTAACAGAGACACAAACATGCACATTCCAGGACTTCAAGAGTTAACAGAAGTCCTCAAAACTTTGACCCTCCAGCCACTCCAGCAGCGATTTCTCAGCATCCACCTGCATGAGGTCGAAAGAGTAATTGTTGCCAGGACTCATTACCTCCACTACATCCAGGCATCCCGTGTGAGTTTTCTGGTGACTGTGAAGATTTGATTTCCATGCAAATGCCTTCCCACACGCAGAGCAAGTGAATGGCTTCTCGCCCGTGTGAGTTTTCTGGTGACTGTGAAGATTTGATTTCCATGCAAATGCCTTCCCCACACAGAGCAATTGAACGGCTTCTCGCCCGTGTGTGTTTTCTGGTGACTCTGAAGATGTGATTTCTGTGCAAATGCCTTCCCACACACAGAGCAATTGAACGGCTTCTCGCCCGTTTGTGTTGGGGCAAGTGCTGTTAGTAGCGAGTAGCAGCAGCACCTCACTCACCCAATACCCCACCCACTCACTCATCGACTCACTCACTCACTTACCCACAAACCCACCCACTCACTCACCCACTAAGCCACCAGCCCAGCCACTAACCCACTCACTCACCCATTCATTCACCCACCCACTCAACAACCCACTCACCAATCCACTCACTCACCACTCACCCACTCACTCACCCACCCATTCACCCACTCTCCCACCCACCCACTCACCCAGCATAATCGAGGCCTCATTCAGGCTCAACTTAGGATATGTGCGGCCTAGTTCAGGCTCAGCCTAGGATACGAGAGGCCTGGATCTAGTCAGGCATTTCCCAGGCCTGGTTCTAGATGAGGCCTTGCCCAGGCCTGGATCTAGTCGAGGCCTGGTTCTAGTCGAGGCCTAGCCTAGGCCTGGATCTAGTCGAGGCCTTGCCCAGCCCTGGTTCTAGTCAAAGCATTGCCCAGGCCTAGTTCTAGTCGAGGCCTTGCCGAGGCCTGGTTCTAGTCGAGGCATTGCCGAGGCCTGGTTCTAGTCGAGGCCTGATTCAGGCTCAACTTAGGATATGTGCAGCCTAGTTCAGGCTCAGCCTAGGATACGAGAGGCCTGGATCTAGTCAGGCCTTGCCCTGACCTGGTTCTAGGTGAGGCCTAGTCCAGGCCTGGATCTAGTCGAGGCCTTGCCCAGGCCTGGTTCTAGTCGAGGCCTTGCCCAGGCCTGGTTCTAGTCGAGGCCTTGACCAGGCCTGGTTGTAGTAAAAGAATTGCCCAGGCCTGGTTCTAGTCGAGGCCTAGCCCAGGCCTGGTTCTAGTCGAGACCTTGATCTAGCCTGTTTCTAGTCGAGGCCTAGCTCAGGGCTGGTTCTAGTCGAGGCCTTGCCGAGGCCTGGTTCTAGTCGAGGCATTGCCGAGGCCTGGTTCTAGTCGAGGCCTGATTCAGGCTCAACTTAGGATATGTGCAGCCTAGTTCAGGCTCAGCCTAGGAAACGAGAGGCCTGGAACTAGTCAGGCCTTGCCCTGACCTGGTTGTAGGTGAGGCCTAGTCCAGGCCTGGATCTAGTCGAGGCCTTGCCCAGGCCTGGCTCTAGTCGAGGCCTTGCCCAGGCCTGGTTCTAGTCGAGGCCTTGACCAGGCCTGGTTCTAGTCAAAGAATTGCCCAGGCCTGGTTCTAGTCGAGGCCTTGCCCAGGCTTGGTAATAGTCGAGGCCTAGTCCAGGCCTGGTTCTAGACGAGGCCTTGACCAGACCTGGTTCCAGTTGAGGCATTGCCCAGGCCTGTTTCTAGTCGAGGCCTAGCCCAGGACTGGTTCTAGTCGAACAATAAAGAAAATTAAAGAAAAATGTTTAAAATATAGGGCAACGTTATGATCACAGTCTTTCTACAACTTTAGCTCAACAAGGCCACTTAGTCACGACAGTAAAATCAGGAATTGGACCACCTCACAACCACTGTGCATCACACCACATCAACAAGTAATCCGATATGACTACAAAGCACCACCTTAACGTGACGAAGTCTAGAATAAACTACAACACTTAAGTAGCTGTGAGAAGATGACAACACGTGGCACCTTCTACCATAAACACCACACATTTAACAGTCCCGATGATACAACCACCAGACGAATCAACGCATCTATCGAAGTATAAAATTGTTGTCATCTTGAAATAAGTGAACACTTCTGGAGCTTAAAAGGAATTCCTTTTCATCCGAACACATCATAGAGCATTCACAACATCGCTCTAGCTTGGAGTACTGGAAATCACGGAAATAATAATGTGTACCTTATCGATTGATCTAACAGAGACACAAACATGCACATTCCAGGACTTCAAGAGTTAACAGAAGTCCTCAAAACTTTGACCCTCCAGCCACTCCAGCAGCGATTTCTCAGCATCCACCTGCATGAGGTCGAAAGAGTAATTGTTGCCAGGACTCATTACCTCCACTACATCCAGGCATCCCGTGTGAGTTTTCTGGTGACTGTGAAGATTTGATTTCCATGCAAATGCCTTCCCACACGCAGAGCAAGTGAATGGCTTCTCGCCCGTGTGAGTTTTCTGGTGACTGTGAAGTTTTGATTTCCATGCAAATGCCTTCCCACACACAGAGCAATTGAACGGCTTCTCGCCCGTGTGTGTTTTCTGGTGACTCTGAAGATGTGATTTCTGTGCAAATGCCTTCCCACACACACAGCAATTGAACGGCTTCTCGCCCGTTTGTGTTTTCTGGTGTTTGTTAAGAGCTGATTTATCCGCAAATGCCTTCCCACAAACAGAGCACTTGAATGGCTTCTCGCCTGTGTGAGTTTTCTGGTGACTCTGAAGATGTGATTTCTGTGAAAATTCCTTCCCACACACAGAGCAATTGAATGGCTTCTCGCCCGTGTGTGTTTTCTGGTGTCTACTAAGAGTTGATTTCCGTGAAAATGCCTTCCCACACACAGAGCAATTGAATGGCTTCTCGCCCGTGTGAGTTTTCTGGTGTCTGCTAAGAGTTGATTTCCGTGAAAATGCCTTCACACACACAGAACAATGGAATGGCTTCTCGCCCGTGTGGGCTTGGCACTCTGGAGAGTTCATCTGCTCCATGTGACTGAATCTACAGAGCAGAGTAACAGTCGCGGGTGTTGTTGAGAGTTAACGGGCCCCTCTAAGCTGCGTGGCTCAAATCGCCAAAAAGCAAACTCTCACGAATGTCCAACCGAGACACAGTAACGCCCCGTAAGACGGACTACACACGCGATTTCCTGGCTATCCACTAACAAAGACACTTACTTGTTCATGCACGGTGTATCGATGACCCTGTAACGCGTCTAAAGAGATCGCCACGAACTCTCCCGAAGCAAAGTCGCCAACCAGTCGCCAAGCAATCGTGCTCGCCAGGCTGAGTCTCGCAGGAGAAGAAAAATCTGCAGAGCGATGAGTTGAGCGTCTCTCCTCAGGAAAATTCCTCTCCAAATGGTCTTGAGGTCTGATTTTAAGCCCCTTATAACTCCCCTCTAGCATCCAAATCCTTTGTTCGCGACTTGGCCTATCATGGACTTTGCATTCAATTGTTAATTTGTAACATTAACAATCGGCATATCAATCAACATCGCTTAGCTAATCTGGCACATTGTACTTAAACCTTAATAAGTATGTACATCCCACTGCATAATTGTACACTTCCGTTTGAATAAAGATGTACATCTCCATGCATAATTCCGTGCTCCTGTTAATTTCCTAATATTCACCCCGCAATGTCCTCTACACTGCTGCAAGATTTTCAGGATATTAAAGCGAATCACAGTCTGAATTATCAACATAAAGAGTTTTATTTGGACTAAGAGGTGCAAATTTACACTGTACTGACTTTGTTTCATAAATATATTTAAGGACACTCGTGTTGAGCGAGGTGTTTCTAGAAAACGAGGATGTTATGTTCTAATTTCCGTTATAAACTTTGAGTAATCATCTTAATGGTTTAGATTGTAAGCGTGGTTTAACATAACGTACCGCAAAAAAAAGTCAATCATCCATATTTAGTCTTCAGTGTGTATGTATAATCTTGTGTATGTGCTCAATATTTATGCACGTGTTTTATATTTTGGACGTGTTTTTGTTACGGTAACTGAATATGGAGGTGTTACCAGCACCTCGCACCCGTCCAGAGACCTCGTGGGCCGCTGTGGTGGCTACGAGACTTCCCTCAAGGACATTGCTCTTATCCACCACAGCGTTACCGACCGGGAACGCCGATGAGGTTGAAGGTTGTTAATACAGAACTTTATTCGTGGCAGGGGAATGCCAAACAACATGGAGTGGCTCTTCTTCCGAGAATGAAACCCCGTATACGTATGTGTGTGTATGTATGTATGCAGGTACAATCGTGCGTGTTCGCAGTGGAACGCAATCCTTGTGTTCGTACACTGCTGTGTATGTACACTGCGTTGTATGTCTGTATGTATGTACACCCCTGTATATGCACACTCGTGTGTGAATGCACACCGCTGTATATATATATACAGTCGTGTTACGATGCACACTCGTGTGTGAATGTCAACTCGTCCATGTTCTTTTTAAGGAAGGAAATGGTAGCAATAATGTACGATCAGTCATCTTTAAAAACACAAATCAGGTCTTTATTAATCTGCAACAATATCAACGTTAAAACTCGCATTGAAATCTTTATTAATTCGATTTTTCAAACAGTTAAGGAACCAGGAAAATTATTTCACTTTCATTAATTCAACAGTTATAAAATATTCTCAAAATCAAACAAGTGAACGTCTTCATTCCCAATTGACGTCCTTATCGACTGAAGCCATTCGTCCACAAGTCCAAGCCATCAAACACAGGAACAACGAACGCACATTCTGAAACCGACACTTTGAAGACGTTTTTTTAAATCAAACAATAAAGAAAATTAAAGAAAAATGTTTAAAATATAGGGCAACGTCATGATCACAGTCTTTCCCCAACTTTAGCTCAACAAGGCCACTTAGTCACGACAGTAAAATCAGGAATTGGACCACCTCACAACCACTGTGCATCACACCACATCAACAAGTAATCCGATATGACTACAAAGCACCACCTTAACGTGACGAAGTCTAGAATAAACTACAACACTCAAGTAGCTGTAAGAAGATGACAACACGTGGCACCTTCTACCATAAACACCACACATTTAACAGTCCCGATGATACAACCACCAGACGAAGCAACGCATCTATGGAAGTATAAAATTGTTGTCATCCTGAAATAAGTGAACACTTCTGGAGCTTAAAAGGAATTCCTTTTTATCCCAACACATCATAGAGCATTCACAACATCGCTCTAGCTTGGAGTACTGGAAATCACAGAAGTAATAATGTGTACCTTATCGATTGATCTAACAGAGACACAAACATGCACATTCCAGGACTTCAAGAGTTAACAGAAGTCCTCAAAACTTTGACCCTCCAGCCACAGGACCGCCCATTCCTGAAACCGCATTAGGGCTCCGCAAGCCTCTCCTCAGCGTGCCTGGCAAGGCGATGTTGAATAATCCTTGCCAGGACCTTTCCCGGCACACTGAGGAGTGAGATGCCCCTGTAGTTGTTACAGTCTGTGCGGTCCCCCTTCCAATCCTGCAGAACCCGTCCAGTGGTCCAGACTGTTGTTATTATGTCATATAGGGCAGTCTGTGCAGAAACGCCACCCTCCCTCAGCATTTCGCTTGGGAGATCATCTCTGCCCGCTGCCTTTCCTGGACTCAGACTCCGGATCGTCTTCAGTACTTCCTCCACAGATGGCACCTCAGCAAGCCACTCACAGGGGGTGACTTCTTCCAATATTTGAGGCACCGCAGCCTCAGCAGGGTCATCCTCACTTTGTGCCACGATGTTTTCCTGGCTGAGGGATTTTCCCTCCCCCAGGACCTCACAGAAATGCTCAGCGAATCTGCAAACCTGTTCCTGGGGGTGGGAGATTGGATCACCGTTTTTTCCCCTAATGATGGTAATAGGTGTGGCGCTGCAGGTTACTTTTTTGATGGAGTTAAATAGAGATTTGTGATCACGGGCCACTGAGGCAGACTCCATCTCCTCAGCAACCCGCGACCACCACCCATCCTTGCAGCGCCTCACGGCTCTCCGAACCTCCGAGCGAAGGCTGAGGTAAGCCTCCTCATTCTCTGACGTGGGATTCTGTAGCCGATGACAGTGGGCCTTTCGCTTTTTCTCAACCATCCTTAACACCTCCTCTATCAGCCAGGGTCTCTGGGGAGGTCTGGACCGCGTACCCAAAGCAGCCATTGCAGCTGCATGAGTCAGTCCTAAACCTCGCCCATTTACCCTCGACATCAGGAAGAGTCGGGGACGATGCCAATCCCAGCCGCAAGCGATGATTAAATTCTCGCTTGCAACTTTCTTCAGATAACTGAGACCAGGCCACTTTAGGTTGGAATGGGGTCCTGGGTGTACACCCACCACCGGAGTGGAAGAATGGCAGGGGCATCTTACAGATGACTAGTCGATGGTCAGAGGGCAGATCAGCTCCACGGTAGGTCCTGGTGTCAAGGACATGGGCTCGCATCCGCTGGTCCGTCACTATGTAGTCAAGCAAATGTTCTTGCTTCGACCCGGCATGCATCCATGATGTTGTGTGGATGCGCCGATGCCGGAACAGCGTGTTGATAATTACAAGCCCATGGGCTGCACAAAAATCTAGCAGCCTCCTACCGTTGTTATTGAGCTGATCTGGCCCATGCCCTCCAATCACTCCAGACCAGGTGACAGCATCATTACCAACTCGGGCATTGAAGTCACCCAACATGATGACTCTATCCCGAGGGGCCACTTTAGCCAGCACCTGTGACAGGAGGTCATAGAAGGCATCTGACTCATCGGCTTTGCCTGCATCCCTCCACGGATGTTCATCTGCGGTGGTGGCATAAGTAACTACGACCACCATTCCTCGCCTCCGGTTGATGGGAAGGCGAGCCCAAAGTAGCCTGGGGCTTACAGCTTCCCACACCTCACCGCCACGCTCCCACGCCCCCTTCATTCTTTTGTTCAAAAGAAGAGCCACACCCTGTTGTTTGGCAGTCTGCTGCCCCGAGTAGAGGACTGTCCACCCCTCATGGTGGCAGGAGCCAGAACCGGTCCACCGGACCTCCTGAATGCCACAAAGATCCAGGCGGTACCGGTCCAGCTCCCGACAGAGGAGTGGCAGCCTCTCCTCCGCAGTGAGCGTTCGAACATTCCACGTGGCCACCCGTAGTGGTTTTTCGTTGTTTCTGGAGGAGCCCCGAGGGTAGATATTCAATCTCCTGGCTCCGCCAATTGGGGTTTGGCCAGGAGACGTCATAGACGCCTGTCCCCCCGGGGCCTCCGGCACAAGCTTATTAAAATTTTGTATTCGTAGTTTAATGATAATTAATTGAAGGTGGAGGGGTTACCAGCCCCTAGCACCCGTCCAGAGCCCCCGTTTAGCCCCTGTGGTGGTCACAGACGCCATGAGGGGAGGAGCCAATCACAATTGGACCTCACCCCACAGCATTGTCCACGACAGAGTTGCCAGTCCGGCACCGCGCGGAGGTAATGAAAAGCTGTCACATGGAAAGAGCTGTGATCACGGTGATGGTGATGATGGTGGTATTAATATTTTCTGATGTTACCAAGGTTATGATGTTGCTGATGAAGTTTGCCATTGTTTGAATGAAATAATTGAAGCAATGGAGATGTTTGGAGTTACATACTCAATCACACACACTCACAAACTCACCACTCACAATCACTCACGCATCACACACTCATCGCCCACTCACTCATTCACCCACTCATCACTCACTCACCCTCCCACGCACCCACTCACCCACTCGCCACTCATTTACTCACTCACCCACTCACTCACCCACCCATGCACCCACCCACGCACTCACCCACTCACTCACCCACCTCATCACCCACTCACTCACCCACCCACTCACCCACTCACTCACCCACCCACCCACTCAATCACCGACCCACTCACCCAGTCACTCACCCACTCACAAACTCACTCACCCACTCAACCACCCACTCACTCATCCACTCACTCACCCACCCACTCACCCACCCACCCACTCA